CAGGCCGCAGCACTACCCTGCCTCCATGGCCCAGACACCACCGCCGCTCCCCTCAGGCCACAGCTCTATCCCAGAGAGGAAATGGGATAGCAGGCAGTGTCACCTGTGTGTCCCCCCTCAACATCATCTATGCCACCCTACCCCCCTCCCACAGACTTACCTGAAGGAAGCTGCGGAAGCTGTTCTGCACACTGCCTGGCTGCCACGTGAACGTGCACGTAGCACCCTCTGCCTGATTGCCCTCCACCTGCTCCCTCCAGCCCCAAGCAGCCCTTTGTAGGCTGGAACTCTGCTAGCCAGCAAGGGGAAACGCACCGTTTCCCATGCTTTTCTCCTTTAAAAGAGAATCCATTTTTTAAAGTTTGTCCATGACCTTTTCATATATGCTTGCAACCCACTTCAGCGTTTCTCAACCTGAGTTGTGACACAGATCTACAGAATGTTAGTATAGGAACTTAAGCTTTGGCAGCATGCTGCCAAACTGGTTGCTACCTTCAGCCCTACAGGATTCCCTTTCTCCAGGAATAAAGACATGCAAGAGAAGCAGTTTTTCTAAATCAGTCATGACAACGCAGTTGTCCATTCGGTTACAAACGTGTCACATCAGACCTACAGTAAGCAATTTTCTTTCAGTTAGCTGGTATTTGCTTTAAAAAATGAAAACTGGTTATATATTTTTCCAGAACACACTGCCAATTTAACACTTCATAGAGACCAAGATTCTAGTCTTTCCTGATGCTGTAAACATACCAGTCATTTCAGAGAGAAGCAAGGTCCAGATCACTAGATCTATAAATAAAATGTGTACAAAAGTGTAAACACTGTCACTGTATTTGGAGCCGTGTGCTGCGTTTCTCAGTGGAAAACTATAGTTTTCAGTCTGGTCTGTGTAACCCAAAACAAACAAGCAAAAAACACCATACACAATCTGATCTTTGCTCATATACCATTTCAACGGGCCAACTATTTCAGTAATCACCAGAAAATTTCTCCATTACTACACAATTCCCTGAGGCTTGAACAATATTATACAGATAAATTAATTCTTTGCTTTCTCTTCATGTATTTGGCACCAACTAAATATGCATTAGTCTGCATACACTGTTTGGGAGAAGGAGCATGCAGTCTCTTAAAAGGGGAGACTGTAGGATATAATTATTCATATTCAATGACATGGTCCATATTGAACATATTTAAATATGAGCTAGAGCAGTGGTCAGCAACCCCCCGCACATGTGCCGAGCATGGCACACAAGGCCATTTTGCTTGGCGCACCACTGCCAGCCAGGGCTCTAAGCAGCTGCTGCCAGCCACAGAGGCCAGGCTGCTCCCAGCAGGCAGCTGGGAGGCTGCAAGCCCTGCTTCCATGGGCCAGCTGTACCTGGGAGGCTGCAAACACCTGCTCCAGGCTCCAGCATGCCGGCATTTCAGCACCTTGCAAGGAAGACATTGTATTTTTTTTCAGCACTCTGGCCAAAAAACGTTGCCTACCCGAGCCAGAGGATCAAACATTGGGTTGGGACCCAGTTTTATTCCCAGTTCTGCCACCAGTTTCCCAGATGATCTTGGGCAATTCAGTTAATTTCCCCCATGGTTCAGTTGCCCCATCCCTAAAAAAAGAATAGTGACATCCCTGATAAAGTACTCTGCCACTGACTTGTGGGGAAAAAAAAAAAAAATCACTATTATTAATATGCTGAACACCCTTCTTAGTTTGAAATTGGAGCAATCTCATTGCCTTTCTGAATTTACAATTGATCAAAATGTTAAAACAACATGGATTAAGTTCCATCTCCAAATAAATACCAGTACTACATAGCTGAATCCATTATACAAACCAGACAAAAGTTATATGAACAATCATACTGAGACAGAGCAAGATGTGGCAAACACTCATGAAGTATATCTTGAAACATGCAGCCTGATCTTCAAATGCTCAAGGCACGTTATGTACAAAACCACATCCTGCTTTACCTTGATGCCAATATACTATGCCTATCTAGGTTTCTATATGATTTAAATTGTTGCAGGGAAAACGAAGTAGATGAATTCGTCCAAGAACAGATTTTTGATTATGTGGTTCAATTAAGCCAGGCAGTTCACAGCACAGAGAACACAGGAGAGAACACAAAACAAGCTGCTTTATAAAAATAGAAAGGGTTTTCCTGTTATTTTCAACTAGATCTTGAAATTCAACAGGGATTTGTTTCTCCATTTACCCTTTCTTGTCTTCCTAATACAAATGATTTATTATACACACATGCAGATTTTGATACAGCAAGGTGCTTTCAAAAATGTTTTATTTTTGTAATGCATTTGCCTGTCCTCTATATACAACATCATTTGCATGCAGCTAAGCTCCTTCATCACAGATCTGAATTTTATTAACTAAGCTTTAAACATTTCAGGGACATATTACTGATACACCACTAAAAAGGCAATTATAACTTGCTAGATAAAGAGAAAGTGTTAGAAAAAAGCTAAGGCTGGCTTTGCATACAAGGAAAACTATACCATATTAGTTGGTTGGGAAATGATTCTTGGTCTCACACACAGCTGTAACTGTCCCAGAAAAGCATTAAATGGATTGCAGTTCACCGAAACTGTGATTTTACCCCTAAAGTTCATTTCAGTCAGTAATCTCTCTAACTTTTTATAGAACAATAAATCAAAGTGGAGCAAAAGAGAAATGCAGAACAAATTTGCATATAGGAACAGGTTATATATCACCACACTCAAAACTACATTGATGAAAGTTCACCCAGGGCTCTAGCCTTCACTATAAATGGGAAAGGAAGGATGATGCCTTGAAGGGAAGGATTGAAGTGCAAATGCCAAATGTCTGCACCCCCTGAATACTCTGAAGTACAGTTCTGGAAGTAAAACACCTTGGCAGCTGTATACAAGTTAGGGATAAAACTAAAGAAGCAACCATGCAGCTCCATTAGTAACACCCTATGCATTGGGAACATACTGGCCACATAGGCCATCAAACCTCCAGGAACAGCATCAGAACAGCTTGTACCTTGGGCAGACTGTTCCTCAGAAGGCTGCACACACCCCATTTACTTGTGCTGTGAGCTGCCATCATGAGGAACACTACCACACTCAAAAAAATTGCAAGTAGATGAAAGTCACCCCTTCAGGGCTGGGACCTTGTCTAGCTATGCACTGAAACATCATCTAGCACAAGGCCAGGAGCCCCATAATCTCTGAAGGCTCCTGTCAAAAGTAATTATAGACAAATACCATTGATTTGATATGTTATGGAAGTGAGTGTGAAGGTGCAATGAAAGCAGGAGATGAAAAGATGACCCACTTTTTGAGGCCTACATTCTTCTCCCAAAACCCTGCTTTCCTCTGATGCAAGCTTACATAACCCAAAGATTAATTTTCTCTAAATTCAAGCTTGCCATGTGGCAGATCTTATGTGTAAAACACTTCTAGTTAAGCCTGGGAAAACGAAGTTACATAAACAAAACAAAATCCCCTTCCAAGACTGCTCCACGTGCATCTGCTGGAGAATTAGTACGTCCTAACAAATTCCAGATTCCAGCTTCGCAACACAAGAAAACTACAGCAACTACATTTTCCCCTGACCAGCAGGGTCCTTGAGCTGTTCCTGGGACTGTCTGCATGCAAGGGCTTCAGATAATTACCACAGAATAGACACATGGACAGACACACATATGAAAATCCTCCAAAAAAAAATCAAACACAAGAGGAGTGAATAGGCAACCATGATTTTTGTCTCTGCTTCTGAAGATTTCAACAATATGCTGCAATTCTTTAGCCAGTCTTTTTTAACCTGACTCCTACAGCATCCCCCCACAGCCCAACCCAGCAGGTTTGCTCTAGTGCAGACAGAACTCAGGAGGCAGGTCCTATTGGCAACTCCCCCACAGCCTGCTGGGTTACCTTGTGGCAGCCCCTTCACTGCTCTGTGCCTTGGCTTCCCCACCCAATCCTTAAAGCGACAGCAAAGATGTCTCCTCTGACTACTGTGATATAAAGGACTATGTAAGGGCTAGGTATGGTTATTCTGCAAGGATGGGAAAAAGCTACAAGGGAACAAAGAAAAGATCAGAATTAATCCATTTTTATGAAGCTCCTTAGTGGCTCCCTCACCTCTTTATCAAACTTTCATTCTTTGAGGGCTGCTCCATATATAGGAAAACTTGTACCAGCTAAACTTGAAATCAGCTCAGGTACAGCTGTACAAACTCCCAATGCAAAACACATTTAACTTTAAACCTACCCAGGTTATGTATCTAGGGCTTCTTACTACCAGCATTAGATAACGTTTGAATGATGTTGTAACCACGATGGCCCTGCGATGGTCCAGGAGTTATGCGAGAGGAACGGACCGTTGCGAGGGCCGGAATGAGGAATGCTTTACAGCTGAAAGCTCGTCTGCGTCCAGTTGGCCCAATGAAAGGCACCCCCCACCGCAGTCCTTGCCTGCTACCAACACCTCAACATAACAAAACGCTGATCCCTAATCATTCATCAGTCAGTCTAGGCAAGAGGAAGAGAAATGGTTTGCTCAGAGGTTCAAGGGAAGCAGGCCAGGGCCCTGCGTTCTCAGCTGTTTCAGTCTGAACGGGGCTCATTTTGAGTTTGTTTTCAAAAACGGATGTGAACTGAAAACCAGCGGAACCCAACAAAATGGGACCCGAGCGGCCCGGGGTCCCGAGGAGCTGCCTGGCTACAGCCCGGTGTGACGACAGCGAAATGCCTGCAGCCTCCCCGCGGGGCCGGGCTGTCACCGGCGGTTGCGGGCGTTTTCCAGCCCGGCCCTGGCCGCCTCTCCGCTCAGCCGGGCGGACCCGTGCCCTTCGGGGGGAGAGGGGAAGGGAGGGTTGGTTTCTAACCAAGGACCCCGCAGAGGTGCCAAGCCTGGCGGAGCTCGCCGCCCCGGCCTCCCCCCGCCGCAGCACAAGGCTGCGAGCCTCGCCCGTCCGGCCCCGGCTCCCGGCGGGTGAGGGCGCGGCGCCCACCTCCTTCAGCTGCTCCATCTCGGTGCGCACGGTCTCGTACTCCAGCTCCAGCTCCTCGTACTGCTGCTTCAGCTGCTGCTTCTCCTCCAGCACGGCCAGCCCGTACTCGGCCGCCTGGATCTTCTCGCGCGTCGTCTCGCCCAGCTCCTGGAAGAGCCGCTTGATCTCGCCCCGCAGCCACTCGGGCTCCGACTCCATCACGAGCCGCGCGTACTCGTCCTCCTCCATGGCCAGCGCCATCACGGGGGCAGCGCTCACCGCCGCGGGGCTGCCATGGGCTGGGCTCGCCCCTCACGCAGCCGCCCGGTGCCCGCGGCCGCCGCCGCCGCAGAGCTCAACGCAGTCATTCAAACGGCGGCCACCGCCGCGCGCGTTGCTGGGGATCGTAGTCCAGCCGAGCCCCGCCCCGCCCCACAATGCACCGCGCCCCTGCAGCTTTCGGGGTCTCCCGGCGGGGAGGGGTGTGGCGGCGGCGGTGGTTGTGCTGTGCCCGGCTCAAGGGCATGGCCGTGGCGGCGGCTTCTCTGGGAGTCACCACGGGAAGCAAGCCCCTGGACCGTATCAGGGCCGCTCCTTCTCTTGCTCCAGGCTCTGACACTGCTAGAAACCGTGGGGATGAGGGGAGTTAGTTATGGTGGCGGCTGCCGCTAGGCCAGGTGGACGTGCCTGCCTACTCAGTGAGCACCAATGGCCTACCTCCAGCCTGAAGAAGTGTTTGTCAGGCTAAGCACATAGTCACTCTGGCTGATTTCTTCATTCATGAAGACTAGCAAGCGTGGCCATTTTATACACAAACAAGAAAAATGATTTCTGAATACTACAGTCACAGGAAGCCCTCCATGAAGAATGCTTTGCATTCAGAAACTTGTCTGTCTTATCCCAAGCATGCCATGGATCCAATAAAAGGTACTGCCCCACCTCCAGAATCTGGCCCCTGCAAAGATGGACACAGGTTTCTGAAAGCAAATTGTCCCCATGTAACTGCTTGCTCCTGTGGGGCTACTAGTGGGCATTGGTCTTTGTGGATTCAGGGCCTAATACGAACTTTCAAGCACTTATTCAGATGCATAACTGTTGAAATCAAGGTGACTGCTATGGAGGTGAATACCAGGCACATTAATAAGGGTTTAAAGATTGAGCTAGAAAGTGGGATGGACAAAGATTCACAGAAGTTGAGGGCTGAAAAGGACCTTGTGAGATCATTGAGTCGAGCACCCCCTGCTCTGAGCAGGAAAGACTGCTGGGGTCAAATAATTCCAGTGAAAACACAGGAGGGAAGAAGGCCAGAAAGGGAAAGGAAAACCAAGATAGCCAAGATGAGAGAGTGCATTTGCTTTTAAAGGTGTGTGCATGCTTCTTGAGAGTTCTGCTTTTGTTTGTTTCAAAATGAAAGCTGTTATATTGCATCATGATAGAATTACTTGGTTACAAGAATCAATCACAGTTATTGCACTGACAGAAGGCAGGGTGTGGCCCCCAGAGACACTTTCATAGGTGACAACCTACTTAAATGATGCCTTCATAGCATCTGATGAAGTAGGCCTGTTGCCTGTGAAAGCTTATGCTTCGAATGAATCAGTCTGTAAGGTGCCACCCTGCCCTGCATTTTGCCTGACTTTAGACTAAATACAGTTAACTACCCACTCTCTGCTAGTTACGTACTGCAAAGCTTCACACATTTTTACTTTCGCTCACTCAGAGTACTTATTTACTAATGTGAATATTTTAAATTTAAAAAAACACCCCTGAATTGTCTTGGCTGAGACTCTTATCTCTTAGAAGGTGATTGCTATATTACTACTTTTAATATAATTAATTCTTCTGTCACTGATCTCATCTGTCTCTGAAGTCGATAAGCAGGGAAGTAAAAAGATGAGGTTCTTGCTTCCAGGGTGGTTACAGAGTTACAGGGACAGAGTATATAAAAGGAAATTGCAGGAGGCTTTGCATGGGAGACAGTTGGGGAAAACAATAAAAAGAAGAAATGTAAAAAGCGTATGGAAAAGCTATTTGTTTGGTCTTGTTTGTTTTCTCTGATCTTTACATTTTTTAATTTTTTCAGAATAGGTATAGACACAAGGGGCAAAGGTGATTAATGACAGTAAGTGAGACGGAAGTACTCCCACAAATAGGTAACAAAGATTCACAGTTGCCTTTTAAGACCTTGATCTGGTGGAAAAACATTTAAAGCACATGCATAACTATAATCACATGAGTAGTCCCACTCAGTTCAACAGAACTCATCTATTTAAAGTTGTGCACATGCTCAGATGTGTTCACTATGTAAGAGCTGTAATTGAGAACAAGCCTGCAAATGACTAGAATGGGGAAGGGGGAAAAAACCCAACACATCAAGCAATAGAAACATGGGCAGGTTTCTGTAGCAGATCTTCACTGCAAGGTATTATGTTATAAAATACAGGAGACAGTTCATGATTAGCATTTCAGAATAGCAATAGTACTCCTGGACCTATGCAGCTGGGCATGTGGCTCTGGACTTCAAAGGGTTGCAAACCACACTTGCAAACCCAACCTGCCAGTCAGACTATCAGATTTGGTTCTCATATTTATTCATTTAACTGATCTATGGTGGAGAAAATCACTATTCCTACCGTACTTGCAGCTCTGTGTCCTGATTGTCTGGTTCTTGTAGAACAGATCACCAGAAATGAGTATCTTACAACAGCTAAATGAAGAATCATGCCACTGCTTATGCAGAAGTGGGTCATGGTCATTTCTGGACAGACAGCTGGAAAGGATGCATATCATTTTACAAAAGCTACCTTAAAAAGAAGTTAGCAAGTAAATTTGTTTATGACAGCAAACCTATTATAATTTTACTCACTAGCTATAGAACGTGTGCGAGTGCATGTCTGCGCCCAGTAAGTCTTCTACATGCTGACAGGAGTACTAAAACCCCTTCTTTTTTCTAGTATTTCAGATCCACAACTCAGTGGCTGCATAGTGTTCTCCAGCTATAATTTGGGAATAAAAGTATTTTCCTCCTTCCTAGGGTTCTAGTGAAGCATTAGCACTCTAGACTGAGGCCCACAGGTACTACAAAAATGGGGGCTTCTCTGCACCTAATATAGATTTTTGCATAAGGCTTGATAGGCTTATGCAGAGGGAAAAACACAATGCTGCACAAGTAGCCTCCTTACCATCTTAATACCACTTGAAAAAGGCAGCGCTTTGCAGTGGGGAAATGTAGTCAACTAATGTGGCAAGGTCCCTTACAATGAAAGGCTGAATGTTACCAAAAAACAGTAAACAGACCCAGTAATGAGGTAATTACTCTCCCAATTAGAATTAATTAATGTATAAGACACAATGAAGGGATAAACAGTGTGAGCCAAACTCTGCTCTCAGTTGCACCAGTGTGAGTGAGTATCTCTAGTCAGTGGAGTTACTCCAACTCTCCACAACTGTAACTAGGAGCACAGCTCAGCCCTCTCAAAGTCACCTGGACAGCTTGTCCGGTTTGGTCACTGCTTCACCCTCCTTTGCTGAAGCTCAGAATTTCAACTCCATCAAAAATAATTGGTACTAAATTGCTAGGTAAAACCCAAACAGTAAAAACAATTACCTGTTTGAGCACATGGGAGGATTAGAACATAAAACAATGGCTTTGCTTACAGCTGTAGGGCCTATTCAAGCACTTTTATCTTCTACCAATCTATAGTCATCCTGATCCACTTTGGTATGTAAGAGAACATATAGATCCCTTTAATAAAGTCTTTAATGTCTGTGAATTCAGCCTCACAGTCATTAGGCAGCCTTGGCTAGTATTTTGTTAGGGATCATGTGCCAACCCCAGACTCCACAGGGCTCACATGGAAAGGCTGTATTTTGTCATGTGAATTCTGATGTATCACCCTAATCCTCTTCCCTTTAACAAACTTGCCTGGATCTGAAAAATAAAAAGTGATGTAATCAGCCTACTGCAATTAACCAAAGTTTCTTTTGTTTTTAATTTCAAAATGTTGCAAGAGTGTTGTTAGAGGTGTATCTGTTCCAGTTTGGCCTAAGCCAGAAAACATTGACTCACCTGCTACATTGAAGATTTCAAGATTTATATATATTGCTAGTTATTTTTTTCCTCCAAATGAGTTTCACATGTCCTACAGAGAATGGCTAAAATCCCGTAGCCATTCTCTAGCCAAACTAAGTGGGCCAGTTTCTGATCTCACCCAAGATTTACATTGGTCTAATTAGCTCTATTGACTTCAATAGTCATTCTAGATTTATACCACTATGGGCACCTAAACACGTGCAGGGAGGCTGCTCCAACATGTTGTAATTACAGCACGTCAGAGCAGACTCAATGGAGTCTGCTCGTTCAACATGCTTTAGTTAAAGCTCCTCCACCACCATTTTTCAGCACAGAGATACTGATATACTTGACACTGCAGGCACTTTAATTACAGCGGCTCTTGGAGCCACTCTAATTAAAGCGCCCCCCTCCAGACCACATGTATAAGTGCTCTGTGAGATCAGGCTGTGGTGCACTGAATATGAAGGTCCTGCACTGTCACACACACATGTCAAACATGCATCTGTTTGCAAACCATACTACTTACCATTTTTCCTCTCCTGGTCTTCATTCCCTCTCAAACTACACAAGCTGGCAATTCCAGAAGCAGCACACACAGCTTCTCGCTGACAAACAGCTCTGCTTTTCACCTGTCCAGCAGGGAATCAAAGGCAAAAATGGCCAAGGTGGTAAGTGCACATTTACTGCCCTGAGGAACACAGGGTTTTTCCTGTACTTAGATTCATAGGTTGTAGGGGCTAGAAGGGACCTCGTAAGATCATTGGGTCCAGCCCCCCCTGCACTAGGCAAGAAAGACAACTGGAGTCATGTAACCCCAGGGAGGTGGCCATCCAGTCTCGTCTTGAAGATTTCCAGGGTAGATGATTGCACCATCTCTGGAGAGGGTTTATTCCACAGTCTGGACACTCTGGCTAGGGACAGATATTCAAAAAGCCCAAGCCTGAATTGATTCAATCTTTGCAGGTTAGTCTAACTTCCAGAGATTTAACTGATTTGCAAGTGGACAGACATTCACTTTTAAATCAAGAAATCCAGGCACATGCCTGCAGTGGCTCAGGCTAGAAGCCACGGGGCACTAGAGCAAGCCCTCCCTTCCCTTCTACAGAGCTGAGTGGGAGGCATGGCCAGGCCCCAGCAGGATGATATGATTTAACCCTGGATGATATGGTTTAAACCACCACCCTGCCTGCAGGGTGTGCCTGGAGGGGGTGGGGGAGAAGCAGTCCTTACCAGGTTCCCCTCCCCTTGCTGTTCAAGGGGTGGGAGTGTTACCAGACCCTGGCCCCCATCTAGCACTCTGAGGCAAAGCA